GATAATCTACCCAGAAGAAATATTGACCACAAAGATTTATATTAGGACCAGAATTAAACTCTACTTGTGGACTGACACTGTAATAATTGCTGAGCAGCCGCTTATATTGGGTACCCATAGAAGGAAACCTTGGTCTGCGAGAGCAGTTTGGCTAGATCTATTAAGCTTTGAAGTTTTCTTTCAAATGATTACACACACAAGTTTGAGAATTCCCAGAGTCTCTTTAAACATGCTTCACAGGAACATGTATTGCACAGGACAAGGATTAGGTCTATGGGGCCCTTAGGCAAAAATGTACGAGTCCCCTCCTATATTTTTTTATGGAGGAATATTAGAAAACATTTATGAGTATTGATCTGGTGATTAGGGGTTAGTTCACACCATATTACATGCAGTAACACTCAGCCATTCTAGATTGCATCCTGATGCACATTTAGAATAACAAAGAAGCACTTTTTCACTTTAGCATACTACATTGCAAAGACGCAAATGCTCTCTTTTTAAGGAGGTTAAGCCCTGTGGTAACATAGTCCCCAAAGAAAGCAGTAAGGACATGGTCTCAGGCTCTAACAGATGGCTAGCAGTATGGTGGAAGGGTGCTCAGGCTAGATGGGTGAAATTGTAAAAGGGTTTGCAATGTGGAAGATAGGGAGTATGGCTCTTGAGGAAGATGAGGGGAGTAGTACTCGGGGGGGCAATGGAGACAGATAAGAAAAGCAGTACAAGAAGGAAGGAAACTATTCATACTTCCGCATACCAATGAAATACAAATAATTAGAATCTTTGCCATTTTGTTTATTACTTAGGGCAGATATGTTATAATAGTGGGTTTCTAAAGGCACCACATTCAAAATATTGTGTAGAAAAAATTAGGAAAGTGAGAGATTTTCAGGTACTAAGACACAATTAGACCAGAACTAAAAATAATGCAAAATGTTATTAACTCAAATATAGTAGCATAAAAACAATACAAGCTAAAACTTCAGCAAAAGCCTCCCCTTAGAGGGCCAATAGCCCCATACAATGATTCAAGCCATCAAAGTCACAGTTACAGTTAGTGATATCCAAACAGATCTGTGCTTGCAGGGGAGGCTTCCATCATGGGCCATCATCAGGTAGCTTACCCCTCATTTTTTGTCCTAATGGCAAAACAGAAAGTAGTCAGAAACCTCAGGGAAGGGGAAAATACAGACAGCAATAAACATCCAACAAATTCCCAGTCTATCAAAAATGCTTTTATTGGCATGTGCCTAAAAGTACCCCTTTACTTCCTGTGCAGTCACCAAAAAAATCTGGCCTTTGAATGACACAATTGCATATAATAACATCCTCCAGGAATTCTCTTCCTTTTGTCCCCAATGAAGCTATTTGTTTCCAGTACGAAAATCTTAAAATGTCTTTTTTTTTCTATTGCTACATTTAGATTCTAAAATATCATTGTTACATGTCAAAAATGTCCAAGGCATATGTTGGCAAGCAGAAACACGAAAGAAAGGCTCACTGGTACACTGCTGTGGTTTCATCTGCTAGCCCCTATGCCTCTATGTCGTTAAAACAAGGTAGAATACAGCAGTGACATTGGAGCTAGTTGTTGGAACCACATCAGGGAACACAGTCACTGATTACTCTCAGAAGAACATTCTTTAGCAACCATAGGAGTCAATGCCTACTGGACAGGTAAGTATTATTATTATTTTTTGTTTGCAGAGAGCTTTTTTGTTTGAACATATCAGCAAAAAATAAAATAGTAACTTAACTTTGTATGTGTGGCAAAATGTTGGAATATGTAGTAAACTAAGGTTTCCTCTGCAACATCCTCTGTGACCTCCAACTTTTTTCATTTGGCAGAAAAAGGGCAGTGTCTGAACCTGGGAGAAAGGTTGTGTGGCAGGTAGATGAATGTCTGGATGAATATTATAGCCATTGTATATGCTTTCTGTTGCCCACGTCCAGTATCGGATTAGCCATTGAATTTAGCAGAAGATCCTCTAGTGAACCACAACTCTGGTATTCAACATCAGAAAAAAATATAGAAGAGCAATTTATTGACTTCTCAAAATTGTGAAAGCAAGCCATTCTTGTTGAAGATTATAGTCTATTTTTACAGTAATATGTTTCTGTTGTGTACTTTACATATGTTTGATGCTATAATGGGCCCTCATAACATAATATAACTAAAGCCCCCCATAACCCAGAACAACAATTATTTTTTGGATTTGGTTAAGGTGGGGAAGTGTTACATCTCATGTGGGTTTTATGAGGATGTGCCCCTGTTGGGGAGATCTCATCTCACTTCCAGCCAGGTAGAACCAAGTAAGAAGTAAGGAGGATTACCCTATTGGGACATAGGCAGCAAAAACCATGGCAGAGATTGTAGCCCTTCCCTACTCTCCTTTCAAAAGTGGCTTTACTACTGTCTGCATTTCTTTGGAAAGATCTCACTTAGTTCCTGTCTCGGGGACCACATAGGAAGTGAGCTGAGATATTCCCAATTAGATAGCTATAAAAACCTGACAAAGGTTCTTTTTCTTACTCACTTAAAAAAAAAGTTTTCACTGGAGTTGTGCTTTCAATAAAAATGGTGTGTTTGATTGGCTTTTGTCCTTATAGTCAGATCTGGAGAAATCACCTTTCTAATGATCATTTATCAATACTGCATGCTTTTGTGTATGTCTAGCATATTTATGGTTGGCCTTAAATTGTTACTAAACCCAGGACCCTGCATTCACTATATCTGATCTCCCACAGTACACAGAACATGGAAATGCAATTATTTTAGAAAATATAAACAGCTAAATACCTTTTCTCATCAGCAGCTAGAGCAGTCTTGCGACTTCTATCAGTGTTTAGCAGAGCACTGGTTAAAGCGTGTAGGAGGAGTTTTCTCTAGGAGGATGCAGAACCTCTGACTTCTGTCTGGGGAGTGCTGATTGGCCCTGTGCTGATTATATGCACTCTCCCAAGAAAAAAAAAAAACTCTCTATCAATACACACCAAATTGAGCATGTGCAGTGTCTCTACACCATATTTCTTATGAGGAGATAAGAGGGAGACACTGGAAGAATGGGAGGAACAGGGAAGTCAGAATCAAACAGAATGTTTACACATCAAATGCAAAGGATTAATCCCTTAGGTTTTCACAGTGAGTATATTAAGCATGCTTTACTGCATATACAGGCTGATTTTACTGTTGTGGGTTTACTAACACTTTAAACTAGAACAATGCCTATGCACTAGATGTGGAAATCCATAAAATGTCAGTCTTTATCTCATGATTTCTAGTAGACATTCCCTTTAAAGACTCCAAATCCTAGAAACACTTGTGCTTTTTCTGTACATCAAATATTTATCTTGAGTCATGTGTTTAAACTGAAGTCAAGTAAGCTATGAAAAGGCTAATTATCCACTGGAGACATAGTGTATGGACAGTGGCGGTGAATAACAGGTTTAAATCCCTGAAATAGATAAGACGCCTGTCTTATTTCTGTAACTGTATAAAGTCGTATTCGAAAACTGAGTAATATGATAACAGCCTTACTGTTTATTATGGAAATAAATGTAAAGTCTTCTAAAATGCCATAATATTTGTTCAGATTTCAGAAAAAATGGGTATGTAAAGATTAGAGAGGCACAAGCGGAAATTTTAAAGGGAAATTCAAAGCCTATAGCTGCAACCATAGCAAGTTTGCATCCAGCACCTGTGTTGTTTCACCCTCTGTCAGGATATACTTCAATCACTCTCCCAGGGGACCTTACAGAAAAGCCATTGAATGACTAAATGTGGCCCGAACATTGCGTGCAAGTTGTTTAACTCAGTGCATCCTTTCAAGGCAGCCCGCTTAGAGATGCTTGGAAGGTGTTGAAAAAGAGCCAAGACTCTGATGCTCGCAAGGTTGTCTTACACCCTGCTGTTTCCGACTGACAGTAAGGTTTGGGATGCATCACAGTCTTCTAGGTAACCTGCACCAGTGTACTTCCCCAAGAAGAGTTTAACCACTTGCCTACCGCCCTTTGTGCCCAGGCCAATTTTCAGCTTTCAGTGCTGTTGCACTTTGAATGACAATTGCACGGTCATGCAACACTGTACCCATATGACATTTTGATCATTTTTTCCACACAAATAGAGCTTTCCTTTGGTGGTATGTAATTGCCGCTGGGTGTTTTATTTTTTGCGCTATCAACAAAAAAGAGCAAAAATTTTGGAAAAAAAAGTTTTTCTTTGTTTCTATTATACAATTTTGCTAACAGGTCATTTTTCCTTCACTGATGTGCGTTGATGAGGGCGCACTGATAGGCAGCATTGATGGGCACTGATAGGTGGCACTGAGGAGCACTGATAGGCACCACTGATGAGGTGGCATGGATAGGCAGCACTGATGGGCACTGATAGACAGCACTGATAGGTGGCACTGATGAGCTGGCACTGATGAGGTGGCACTGATGATGCTGCACTGATATGCAACAATGATGAGCACTGATAGGCGGCACTGATGGGCGGCACTGACTGATGGCACTGACTGGCGGCACTGCTGGGCATTGATGGGTGGCACTGATGGGTGGCACTGATGGGCACTGGTGGTTGGCACTGATGGGCACAGGTGGGTGGCACTACTAAGCACTGATGGGCATAGGTGGGTGGCACTGCTGGGCACTTGTGTGTGGTCCTGCTGGGCACAGGTGGGCAGCACTGGTGGGTGGCACTGCTGGGCACTGATCATCAGTGCACTGATGATTGGTACTAATCCATCCTCTGACAATTGTCTGTTATTGGCAGTACTTTCCTCACGCTATAACATCGTGAGGAAAGTGCAGCTGATAACCAGCAACTGCATTAACCGGTGATCTGCTGTATCATTGGACATGGCTGATCAAGTGGTAAAAGGCCGCTGTGATTGGCCTCTTACTACATCACGTGATCAGCTATGTCCGTAGGACACAGCGATCACGGAGATCGCTGGGGGGCGCGCGGGAGGGAGTGTTCTGGGAGGACGTCATGTGACCAGGGGCGGACTGACAACTCATGGGGCCCCCGGGCAATAGGGGATCATGGGGCCCCTGTGTCCTTGCCCAAACTCCAAAAAGCCTATGAAAAGGTACCAGTGGCATCTCATGGGGCCCACTACTGACCCCAGGCCCTCGAGCAGTGCCCCGAGTTTCCAAATGGTCAGTCCTCCCCTGGGCCAGACTGGATCAGTGCAGGAGTGGGTGGCCGTTTATAAACGTCCTCCCGCTTCCCTGCCTGTGTGTGCTCCCAGGGAGCCCACGGCACGGCGATCAGGTGCCCACAGCAGAACACCAATCGCTGTACAGGACCTCTGTGTGAGGTCCCGACCATGTGATCACTGATTAGCCAATCAGTGATCACATGAATAGTAGTAAGCAAGATGTCACTTCTGACATCATTGCTTACTACTAGTGAAATCTGTGAATGATCACAGAGGTCACATGATACAAGGCTATTCACAACAGCCCTGTACCATGTGACAAGCTGTGACCAATCACAGCTCTCATAGTATTTCTCAATGGCTGCAAAAATGCAACCAGAGAGGAGAAATGATTACTTTTACACCCATAAAGGCTGTAAAAGCAATCAGTGTAAAAAAAAAAAAAATCTTCCTCACCCCATACAAGTAGTACAGTGTCACTGTCGTGACACTGTACTGCTAGGGTGACATTATGTTAAAAAAAAAACATAAATAATAATATAAAAAAATTAAATAAAAATGTAAAAACATTTTTCAAAAACTATAATTATTATAATTTGAGATGTGTTTTCCTAAAAACATAGCTGAATACATTTTTGGCCAAGATTTATGAAGAAAGATTTTTTTTCAAAATGTTTGGACTTTTTCATTTATATAGCAAAAAAATAAAAATCCCAGTGGTAAATAAATACCACCAAAATAAAGTTTTATCTGTCTAAAAAAATGATAAAGAATTCATATGGGTACAGTATTGCATGACTGCACAATTGTCATTCAAAGTGTGATAGCACCGAAAGCTGAAAATTGGCCTGGACAAAAAAGGTGTAACAGTGTCTGGACTTGAAGTGGTTATTATTGTAGCTTCTATGAGATTTAGATGAATGGATTTGCATATACTTAAAGACTAATTCATACTCTTCCATAAGCATGATCATGGCTCCTGTAAAATAAAACCTGTGACATACGACTTTAAATTAAAATAAAGTTCCCTATCAACGTTTTTTATTCTCCAGTAGTCAATGAAGACTGATTTCATGATACATCTGGAAAAGTTTCTCTACAAAAGAAAAGTAAATGATTTACTAACAGAGTGTAAAAGCTTTTAGCAGAGCCAGGAAACTTTGTAGGATAAAATAAAGCCTAGAAACTCAGTTCGCCGCCGCATAGGAGCTCTTACCCAGCATGCCTCACTACAAGCACACTAAACAGAGGTGTGAGCATCCTTTAAAGGCACGCAAAACAGGATGTATCTGTTTGTTTTAAAAAATATAATGCAAATATCTACAAACAAACCACATTAAAGAGGCTGGACACACATTGTTAGTTTCTTTCAAAGGCATGACAAGTTTTCGGTGACTTTGTTGTGGTAAAAAGTCAGAAGATGAATCACTTTGACAAGGTCCCAATGCTCAGGTGAATTCCCATTCAGCCTGATCTTTTTTTTCCTCTACTTTTAAATCGATTAATGGTGCAGACATTGAATCTGCTGCCTAGTAAGCAATGCAAGAGAGAGATTGAATCAATAAGGTAAAATATGCTTTCTGGTGAAGTGCACCAAGTGGAAGAAGTAGCCTCACTTACTTACTGTATATGCCATTACTGCTTATCTCACGAGGGGGGATTAGCGTTCTTCACCATCTTTAGCCCTGTTTAACCTTTTCATTTGCATCCAATTACCAATCAGTCACATGCAGTAAAGGAAACCTCTAACGGTTTTGGTCAATTTTATTTTAATTTTGAAATTTAAATGTTTACATACTCTTTACACAATATTTGGTTTACAAACTGTAAAGGATGGGCAGCACAGGGGCTCAGTGATTAGCACTTGCAGCACTAGGATTCTCAGGTTGAGTCCAGTCAAGACACTATCTGCATGGAGTTTGCATGTGCTCCCCTTGTTTACATGGGTTTCCTTCAGGTACTTCAGTTTCCTTCCACATTACAAAGACATTCTACTACTACTGAGAGCAACCAAGATGACTGCCTCAAAGCAGATAAATCACTTTGAATTCCTTACGAGAAAAGTGCTGTATTAATCAGGGGCGGACTGACCATTTGGAAACTGGGGCACTGCCCGAGGGCCCAGGGTCAGTAAGGGGCCCCATGAGATGCCCCTGGTACCTTTTTTCATAGGCTTTTTTTGAGCTTGGGCAAGGACACAGGGGCCCCATGATCCCCTATTGCCCGGGGGCCCCATGAGTTGTCAGTCCGCCCCTGGTATTAATTAATAAATTTTACAGGAAAACGTTTATTACATGGTGCATCCATGCAGTTAGCTTGAAGAACAGACTGGGCTTTCTAAGAAGAAAGCCCAGGACTGCTTGTATGCCTTTTCTAGAGCTTTTGTCATGTTGCTAGTGAAGATGTCGTCATCTCTGCTAGGAGAGGGGGTGTAGCCAGGGGCGTCCCTAGGGTTGGTGTCACCCGGTGCGATAACACTTGGTGACTCCCCCTCCGACGACCCCCGCAGAATGGATCGGATCTGCGGATTGAGCATAATAGATCTGACTTCGATCCATTATGCTCCCCTATCCACAGATCTGATCCGTCCTGCGGGGATCGTCGGCTTTCTTTACAACTTACCTTTTTGTGGAGCCGGTCTGGTGTCACCCCGTATAGGTTGCATGCCGCCGATCCCCCGCAGGATGGTTCAGATCTGCGGATTGAGCATAATGGATCAGAGTCCGATCCATCCTGCTGCGGGGGGATCGTCGGCATGCAACCTTTTCGTGGAGTGGGTCTGATGTCACCCCATGCGGTAGGGGTCATCCGGGGGGACACCTGCCTCGGGACTCCACTGGGTGTAGCCATAGCTCCCAACTGTCTGTGATATCGAAGGACTGTCCCTCATTTGAAACAAAGTCCCTCTTTCCACCTCATTTGTTTCCCATACTGGTCTGATGCATATACCTGTGTTTAGCTATCAAAAAGTGTTTTACAGTATTAAACCTGTCATCCAATTTGTAAATTGTTGCATTTGTCCATTTCAAAAGCTAATAAAAATAAATAGTAGTGGTAAAAAAGAACTTCTGGGCAGGGGTGGACTGACCATTTGGAAACTCGGGCACTGCCCGAGGGCCCAGGGTCAGTAGGAGGCCCCATAAGATGCCACTGGTACCTTTTTCATAGGCTTTTTTCAGTTTTTGGGCAAGGACACAGGGGCCCCATGATCCCCTATTGCCCGGGGGCCCCATGAGTTGTCAGTCCGCCCCTGCTTGTGGGTTTAGCCAATCATTTTTGTCTATTAATTTTTCTTGTAAGGGGGCAGGGCAGGGGTTATGTCCTATGAATACATACTTTTCCTTATGGTGTATCTGTTATTTAGGTCCTCAGTTAAGAGCTACTTAGAAAAACCTTTCATAGCATAAGATTATTATGTAGAGTTTCTGATATTAAAAAAGAAAAAACTATTCTGCACACTGATTTTCCCTTTGCATTTCTTTCTGTGTCTCTCTCATATATATATATATATATTCTGATATATACACTATATTGCTAAAAGTACTGTGGCACACATAAACCTTAATGGCATCCCAGTCTTAGTCAGTAGGGTTCAATATTGAGTTGGCCCACCCTTTACAGCTATAACAGCTTCAACTCTTTTGGGAAGGCTGTCCACCAGGTTTAGAAGTGTGTCGATGGGAATGTTTGACCATTCTTCCAGAAGCGCTTTTGTGAGGTCAGGCACTGATGTTGGACAAAAGGCCTGGCTTGCAGTCTCTGCTCTAATTCATTCCAAAGATGTTCTGTCGGGTTGAGGTCAGGACTCTGTGCAGGCCAGTCCTCTACCCCAAACTTGCTCATCCATGTCTTTATGGACCTTGCTTTGTGCACTGGTGTGCAGTCATGTTGGAACAGGAAAGGGCCATCCCCAATCTGTTCCCACAAAGTTGGGAACATGAATTGTCCAAAATTTCTTGGTATACTGGTGCCTTAAGAGTTCCTTTCACTGGAACTAAGGGGCCAAATCCAACCCCTAAAAAACAACCCCACACCATAATCCCCTCTCCACCAAACATTACACTTGGCACAATGCAGCCAGGCAAGTACCCTTCTCCTGGTAACCGCCAAACCCAGACACGTCCATTGAATTGCCAGACAGAGAAGTGTGATTTGTCACTCCAGAGAACATTTCTCTACTGTAATTTACACCACTGCATCCGACACTTTGCATTGCACTTGGTGATGTAAGGCTTGGATGCAGCTGCTCGGCCATGGAAACCCATTCCATGAAGCTCTCTATGCACTGTTGTGCTAATCTGAAGGCCACACGAAGTTTGGAGGTCTTTAGCTATTCACCCTGCAGACAGTTGGTGACTTCTGCGCACTGTGCACTTCAGCATGCACTGACCCCATTCTGTCATTTTACGTGGCCTACCACTTTGTGGCTGAGTTGCTGTTGTTCCCAGTTGCTTCCACTTTGTTATAATACCACTAACAGTTGACCGTGGAATATTTAGTAGCAAGGAAATTTCATGGATGGACTTATAGTATTGCACAGGTGACAACCTATCACAGTACCATGCTTGAATTCAGTGAGTTCCTGAGGGTGACCCATTCTTTCACAAATGTTTGTAGAAGCAGCCTGCATGCCTAGGTGCTTGCTTTTATACACTCGTGGCCAAGGAGGAGATTGGAACACGTGAATCCAATGATTTGGAGGGGTGTTCCAATACTTTTGCAATATAGTGTGTGTGTATATATATATATATATATATATATATATATATATATATATATTGGATTCAACCTGCAATAATAAGCCCTGACTTGAAAAGCTCCTTTAATTACAATTTCAGTTGATCTTTACCATTAGTTTTATTTAGTGTACACTCATGACACTGGTGTCACAAAAAAAAAACCGATGTCATGAATAGAGCACTGTGCTTTGTATGGGTTTATAAGCACAGCAGTAGCTGTTTGCTTTCAGGCTGTCTCTGTATTTGAACATCTGCAAGGAGCCATACAAAGCAGAAATAGCAGAGGGAGGAATGAGGGATGATCCTCTGACTCATTTAGCTTGGTATGTAATTTACTCTTGAGCTATCAGGCTCTGTAAACAGCAGGCTTTCTCAGCAAAGTAATTAAGACCAATCAGTTAACCTAAAAAATAAACTGTTGTCTGAAACAAACATAAAATATTTATGTAAAATAAAATATATATGAATATAAATAAATATATATATATAACACCAGGGCTATATTTATATTTTTTTCCCACACATGGTTCACACAACTTTTTTTTCCAATTGGAAAATGCATAAATCTTGGGGGGGGGAAATGTATGCATAGAACCCATGTCACTGAAGGCAGAGAGTTTTTTAATACAGCAGAGCAAGAAGCAATGATAATATTCAATTGTTCAGTCATCATATCATAGAAAGATTCTATCTGGTTACTGTGAGTTACTGTACTTTGTCACCTTGTGTAAGCTTGAAGATTTATCATACAATAAAAACTGTGCCGTTTGTGCAATAGAATGCTTTGCTTTTATTAAACTGTGTTCTAAATTTGCCAGAAGGCTTTAGCTGGTGCACAACATGCCCAGCCTGAATACATTCTATTGCTGGGAATTTATAATCGAGCAGCTACATAATGTGTTGCCATGGAAATCACTTCACCATCATAAATAAAGGTAAGGGTGATGCTACAAGGTCTCCATAGAGCTAGAACATAGTTCAGCGAGGTTACAAAATGTCAGGCTGCTGCAAATTTAGTGGAATAAAAATAACCTTTTTTTTCTGCATTAATCACAAAATACATAAGTCCTATCCTCATGTGTGTGTTTTAAAGGCGAACTTTAGTAAATAAATGTTTATTGTACCGAAAGACTGCTGATTAGGGAACTGGCAATGACTGGACTGTACTGCGATGTAGATGAACAGCTGCAAATACCATTTGCCTGGCTGGCATCTTGACCCGCTGGTTTTGACCAGAGATAAGTTTTAAAGTATTCAAATACTTTAAAGCTGATCTCTAATCAAAGCTTTCTCCCTTCCATCCCGGATCATCACCCTTTCAGCAGATCTTTTTTTTTTTTTTTTTTTTAAATATCTTAAAAAGATTTTTTGTAATCCACCATCCATGTCCCTCTTTGGCACCTCTTCCCGAAGGTATGACAGCTTTATCCAGCGCTGCAGTAGACTGGTCACCTGTTCCTGACATCATAAGCCAGCCAATGGGAAGTGTCTACATCACCCATAAAGGACTCAAAGAAGGACCCTTCTGCACTAGAAGGAAGAAGATCAAAGCCTGGGAACCTGATGTGTTAAGAGACCATGGATTAGGTAAGTATTTCTGGAAAAGGATCAGCAGGAGGGGGTATAGGTAGGAGTTCACCTTTGAAGTAATCATATAGGGATAATTTTTTTTATTAAAATAATAAACATGTTATACTTATCTCTGTGCAATGGTAAGGTCTCTTACCTCCTCTTCTTGGTTTCCCCACTGGTACTCCCTGTTCCTCTTGTCTGTGTGCTATGGGGGCACTCATATAGGAGCACTCCTGAGCAGAGCTGTGTGTGTCCTTAGACAAACACTGCATGCCCCCACCAATCCCTCCTCACAGGATTTGACTGACAGCAGCAGGAGCATATGGCTTTCACTGCTACATCTGTCTCCTATGTGAAGAGGGAGAGAGAGCAGTACTGCTGCAGACTGGCTCAGAGCAGGATCAAAACAGGAGCCAGGTAAGTGTTTAAAGTGATTGTAAACACTTTACATATGCCCAGTGAAGTGGCCAGGATAAGGTGATACACAGAGGTGAAGCAAATCCTCCTACATAAGTTGTACCTGTTTATCTGAAGTCCTCCGTTCTGTACAGCCAATCAAAGTACACAATTTATATCACTTGTCTGAGCTTTCAGAAAACAGGGGCTGGGAGCTGAAGTTACACTCTGCAGAGCTGAAGAAGAGCTGATTGGAAGGAAGGGAAACATCCCCTTCACAGAGCGCACAGGAACAGAGCTGAGGCTTGTCTCAATCCAGAGCACTACGTGTCATTTTGGTCCAATGCATCGTTCCTCTGCTATATGTATGTAAGTCACTTCTGAAGTCACTTTATTGATCAACTTCAGAGCAACCAGTCTGTCAGGTTTCTCTGTGCGATCACTGCCTGCGGATCTAGCCACCAGCAGTGATCATTGTAATCTGATGGTGGGTAAACCTCCCAGCTTGAATATTTATGGGACTCTAGCCAATCCTTGGGTAGGTGTGCCCAGAAGGTGGAGAGAGAGATCATAAATAGTCTGAGGCCTGGAGTAACAGTGTTTTTTGTCCTGGAGGTGGAGATCCCAGGCTGAAGGGCTACTGCAGAGAGCTTACCAATGTCCCAGCTCAGGGGGAGCTTGAGGGCCTGTCTCAGAGAGATCAATGATGTCCCAACTCAATGAGAGCTAGGGGAGCCTATTACAGAGAGTTAGTTGAGGTCCAAGCTCAGTAGGAATTGGGGGCCTATTTTTCCTGGAAGCAGTTTTGAGCCAAGTAAAGGGGTGCACTGAAGATTGGTCCTGGAGATTCACAGTACAGGGTTTAGCCAATATGTTTAGCCAATATTGAAGAGGAGATATCCAAGTATCTGGAGATACAGTGAGTAGAGGCTTGGAAGTGGTATCCTAGTAACTGCCTGCTGTTTACCCCCTTGTGTGACTGTATCAGTGTTGCTAAAGTGGCATTTCCCCTGCTGGGAGTCCCAGAAGTGCTGGATTCTCTAGTCTCAGCAAAGAAGGGGGTGCCCCTGAAGTGAGAAGACAGAAAAGACAGTGTCCTCCAAATACATTTTGCACTATATTCTGTAGTATCCCAAAGCTTCCCTGCACTCCATCTAAGTTAAACCAGCAATAAAACATACAAATACATCCCCTGCCCGGTTATTATGAGAGACTGTGCAAGTGTTGTATGTTTTGCTGCCTGTGGATGCATAAGTAAATAGAACCTGGGAAAAAACAGCGGGATCAGTCATGGGGTCTGCACTGCATGTGGGGGCTTGTCCGGGATTCCTTCTTGGGTTCAGGCCACCGCTGCTACTAGTCCAGGGTAAGTGAAGCTGGTGAAGTTGTGGGATTCACATGTGTATGCCAGTGAAGGGAGAAGTGATTGCTGGCAGCTGCTGTGGTGTAAAATTCCTGAATACCAGTAGATACTGCTGGCAGTTACACAAGCATCTTTGGTTAATGTGGAAGGAGTTAGGTTTTGTTAAACTGAGAAACTTTATATCTACTTCATATGAGATTTGCTAAGTGTAAAATTCCTACATGTTTTACAATTTACAAATTGAATTTTGACTATGCTCAACCATCACATGAGCTTTCTTAACTACAATTCACTCCTTTGCTGTCAGCAGTGAGGAAACAGCAGGAGGTAAGGGAGATAATCCCCAGCCAGTGTAAACTCTGACTTTGATCAGCTTGGAGATTAAACAAGGTTGTGGAATCTCTTTCTGATTCCATGTGACAGCGCTGGTTCCCAGTTGTCAAACTACCAAGTACTAGCTCTGTCCTGTGGAAGCAAGGGCAGTGACTCACATATTCTCCTATACCCCAAAGTACTGGGTATTTATCTTCACTTGCAGTAGTAAATGAATCAGCGGGAGAGCCAAGGGAAGGTAGTATATGTTTCTGCAGAGCCTGGTATTAAGGTGAACCTATTGTTTTGGCTTCTGTGGGCAAAATACAGGTTCACTTTAAAGCAGGCCTGCCACAAAAAAAACTGAATTACCATATACAATTACTAATATCTTAAAATTGCTGGGAGATATCTCTATGAGGTTTCCTTCATGCTCTTCCTAAATTCTTACCACACATTCCTGCATAATATTGAGCACATTTTTTCTGGATCACCCACAGGTTAATAAATCTTATAACCTACATGGCCCTTGCCAAGCTACTTGTTATAGCTCGAAGACTAAGCCAATATTGAGCAGTAAAGAATCCCAGTCCTGCACTTCATCATGCTAATGAACATGTAAGATAGTCCAGGTCAAAGTTCTGTGTCAGGTAATTGACTGGAAGGACCTGAGTTGTGTCCTGGTCTCCCTCCTGAATGTACTAACAAAGATGCAGCACAATTTGAAAGAAACTCTTTATTTCAATAGCCATAATACCCTAACTGCTAATACCAAGTTGACAGCGAGGCTATTGTTTGGAGTTTTAGTTGTGTATGCATGACAAATGTGCAGCAAGTGTTAAATTCAAATGCCTATATCTTGGGTCAGCCTCATTTCTTATTTTTGGATTATGAGGCTGATGGCCTTTTTGGCTCTACAGATGGAGCAGATACCTGGAAGGAAAAGCGCAGGGCCCAGTCACAAAATCATTGTGATGTGGTATAATGTGATGGAAAATTGTACTCTCATGAATTCTTTTGTGGTTCTTTGGTCTGAAATATAAAGGGCCTGGATAGGTCCAGCTTCCTTGGCCCAGAGAAGAAGACAGCAATCTTGGTTTGATTGGGTTGATTGTCTATACCTGGACTGCAAAAGTTAAAAGCATCTGATCATCAGTCCGGACTAGTGAAGAGCTTGAGTTCAGGCTTGGGTTCAGTCCAAAAACAAGTATGTCTGAACCCAGAAGTTAGCTGCCATTGGTCAATGGACTGTGGGTTGGA